AAATTGAAGGTACTGAAAAGAGAAGTCAATCAACCCACGGTATGGTGGGAAATTTTCTTACTTTTACTTACTTATTTTACTTGAAATAGGGAAAGACAGAGACAGACAGAAGCAGAGACGTTCCATCCACTGGTTCAGTTCTCAAATGCCTGCAGAAGCAGGGCGGGGTCAGGTCAAACCAGAAGTCCAGAACTCCATCTGATCTCCCCTGTGGGGGGCAGGGGCCCAAGCATTCAGGCTATCATCCGCTACCTCCCAAAACACGTTAGCAAGAAGCTGGATTGAAAGCAGAGAGCTTGATTCCAACACCACAAAATTTAGCCCAAATAGTGGGAAATTTGAGCATACCTCTCAGTAAGTAATAAATCTAATATAAACACAAAAAAGCAGCAGGGTTATAAGACATTTGAAATACATAATATGGGGCTGGCACTGTGGCACCGTGGGTTAACGCCCTGGCCTGAAGCGCCAGCATCCCATATGGGTGCTGGCTAGACACCCAGCTGCTCCACTTCCAATCCAGCTCTCTACTATGGCCTAAAGCAGTAGAAGTTGGCCCAAGTCCTTGGGCCCCCGCACCCACGTGGGAGACCCGGAAGAAGCTCCTGGTTCCTGACTTCGGATCAGCGTAGCTCCAGCCATTGCAGCCAACTGGGGAGTGAACCAGAGGATAGAAGACCTCTCTCTTTTTCTCTCTGCCTCTCCTCTTTGTGTAACTCTGACTTTTAAATAAATAAATAATTAAAAAAAAAAAAAAAAGAAACACATAATAAGCAAATGACTCAAACAGACAGATTGAGCAACCTTGATCTAAAGATTCAAAATCCAAAATGCTCCAAAATTCAAAACATTTTGAGTTGTGGACATGATGTTACTGTCGGAAAATTCTTCTATGAAATACCATGAAATGTTTCACAGAAAATTCTTAAAGACATTGTATGAAATTGCCATCAAGCTATAAAAAGTATATATAAAAAATTAATATCACAGTTAGACTTGGATATCATTTCCAAGGTAGCCCATTGTGTATAAGCATAAATTCCTAAATCCAAAAAATAAAACATCTAAGACACCTTTGGTCCCGAACATTTTAGATATGAGATTCTCAACCTGTCTAAAACCCTGCCACAATAATCAGAGAATACACTTCATTTTCAAGCATTACTGAAAACTGACCATATACTATATAAAGCAAACCTCAACAAATTTCAGTTTCAACATGTGTTACGTGTGTTAAAAAGTACAACTTGGAATGTGGTGAAGTTGGCTCAAAAAGCATGTATAAGTGTTTTTAAAGGAATATTACAATAAGATTGCTAGACTAGACACAAAACTAGTGCATGACCTATAGGACAATAAAATCATAATTTTGAGAGTTTTCTTCTGTAATGGATAAGAATCTACAAATTAACACATAACTTCACAAAATCTGGGCTATTCACCCATGGTGAATATTAAGTTAAATGAAGATGCGGTCCCCCAGAGAATGAAATAATCCCTAGCCAGTATGATCTCAAAAGATTCTGCTGCCCTCCCTTTGCCTTACTTCTAAGTTTCAGGCTAACATGTGCTAACCCTGTTGGTTTGCATGGATTCCTAGGCAAGGAGAGATTCACAGTATAGTAGAAGTAAAATTATAACCCTCAGTAAAGAATAAAAAGCCCTCAGTTCCCCAGCAGTATTGGCCGTACTATATTTTAAGACATCTTCAAATAAGCTCCTTTTTCAAGGGCCCCCTCTGCTGAGTACACACTCAGCCTTCTGTGAGCGGGTGGAAGGTGACGCTGCCTCCCGGGCCCACCATCACCACAGCCTCGACCCCGCTGATCCCAGCGCTACTTACAGCTGGAGCCAACCCTGCTTTAATTAAAGGGTTGCTATTATTTCCATCCTTTTTCTTATGCTTTTTTTTTTTTTACTTGAGGGGCAGCCAGACACATAGAGTTCCCATCTACTGAATCACTCCCCACCATCACCACCCCCAAAATGCCTACAACAGCTGGGGTTGGACCCAGGCTGAAGCTGGGAGCCAGGAATTCAATCCAGGTCTCCCACATGAGTGGCAGGGACCCAATTCCTTGAGCTATCACTTGCTGCCTCCTAAGATTTGCATGTTCAGGAAGCTGGAGTCGGGAGCTAGGGTGGAGTTTCAAACCTAGGCGCTCCAGGATGGGACATGGGCAGCCTGACTCGTGTCTTAATCACCAGGCTAAATGCCTGCCCTTATATGCTTTGTTCTATCTTCCGTGGCAGCCTGCGTAGACAGAACAGATTATTTCCCCAGGTACCAATTACTGTGTTTTACAATGTGCCACTTAAAATTCTGCATAAGTTAGAGGGCTATGCCCCAAACCTAGTTTTCCCATAATTCCCTTTATTTCAATGTGTACCTTTTAAAATAGACAAGCTTTTCAGGAACATATACATTACATTATAGCCGCAAATTCTTTTTTTAATAACATGCTTGAAACAGCAGAAGAGATTTTTCAGATTGTAGCAAAATATGTAGTAGTCAGGGGATATACCTAACAGATTAATAGACATTGTAAGTAATTTTTCTACTACTACAGGAAGGAAAATGGCATACTGGTAAGATTATGGCATCCAAGGCTCCTTAGGATACAACATGAAAGAGATTTTCACACTTTTCCTTGATAGTGGATTAGAGTTTGAGTTTCAAAGCATGTGTGGGTGTTGCTCCAGATGGAGTTTCTGCGAAGGAAAGAGACAGCAGCCTTATCGCTCACATCCTTGCTTTAGGCATCACTTTAGTTTGATGATATCATGTTCAAAAATGCCTTAGTTGCCAAAACTTGAATCCTAATGCTGACAGAGCATTAGTTGTTGTTCAAATGTAAATATTATTAATTCTTGGGTATTAAACGTACATTTTTGAGCTTTTGTAAGGACATGCAATCAACTCAGATCCAGTGATTGCTCCCTAAGAAGTGATGGTTTCTGTGGACCACCCAGTAACACACTGTGATTATTCATTTAAAAGTGAAAGCAGACTTTTTTTTTAAAAGAAACTAAGTTTGTTAGAAGAATTTGACACGTAGGGCTGGTTTTGTCATTTAGGTTATGTGACAGGCATTTTTCAAAATTTAAATGACTTCTGTGTTCAGTGCCATAATTTTGATTACAAAATATTTATCAAAATTTTGTACTGGGAAGATGCATTTATATTAACAGTGTTTATATTTTCTAAACTCTTTTGACTATATTGAGTTAAATAGGGTAGAAGAGAATCAGCTATAATTCATAGTCATTTAATAAGTTTTGGTAAAGATTTTTATTACTTCACAGAAATTTAGAAAGTGAATCACCTAGCGATTGATTAAGACATCCTTTTGCGAATCTTGTGGTTTCCAAGCGTTTGCTTTCAACAAACTCAAGAGTATTACTTAAGGGACAGGCCTTTGTTCTTGCAGCTAAGATGCCCATTGGGACACCTGCATCTCATATCTGAGTGCGTAAGTTCAAATCCTGGATCTGTTCCTGGTTCCAGCTCCCTGCTAATGCGCACTCTGGAAGGCAGTAGGTGATGGTTTACGTAACCAGGTCCCTGCCATCCATATAGGAGACTCAGAGTGAATTCCTGGGTCCTAGCTTTGGCCTGCCCCAACTTTCTCAATGTGATAAAGAGCATCTTTGAAAAAAAAAAAAAAGAAAAAGAAAAAAACCACAGCAACATTACACTTAATAGTGAAAGATCGGACGCTTTCCCCCAATGCCAGGAAAAAGAATCGTGTGCTGTCAACATTTCTATTCAACATTATGCTGCAGTTTCTAGCCAGGACAATTGGACAAGAAAAAGAATTACAAAGCATACGTGTTGGAAAGGAAGAAGTACAGCTAACTCCATCTTATATGAGGTAGGCTTCAAAAATCTCATAGAAACGTATAATATGAAAGAACAATGCACAGATTTAAAAGCTTTGCAACAAAATAAACATATCTTTTATTATATTTTCTATTAACTCTTTGAAGTAATCTCTTGTATAGAATATCTTAAAGAATTCATTTTTGAAATTCTTAGAATAAAGTCAGTGAAGTTATAGGATACAAGATTAATACACAAAAGTCAGTTGTGGCCAGCGCCACGGCTCAATAGGCTAATCCTCCACCTGTGGCGCCGGTACACCGGGTTCTAGTCCTGGTCGGGGTGCCGGATACTGTCCCAGTTGCTACTCTTCCAGGCCAGCTCTCTGCTATGGCCCGGGAGTGCAGTGGAGGATAGCCCAGGTCCTTGGGTCCTGCACCCGCATGGAAGACTAGGAGAGGCACCTGGCTCCTGGCTTCGGATCAGCACGGTGCGCCGGCCACAGTGCACCGGCTGCAGTGGCCATTGGGGGGGCTGAACCAACGGAGAAGGAAGACCTTTCTCTCTGTCTCTCTCTCACTGTCCACTCTGCCTGTCAAAAAAAAATTAAAAAAAAAAAAGTCAGTTGTATGCACAAGCAATGAACAATCCAAAAATGAAACTAAGAAAATAATTTCACCTGGAATACATCAAAAAGATTAAAATACTTAGGAATAGATTTAACATTTAAAACTATGAAATATCATTTTGAGAAATTAAGAAAGCCTAAAAAATGTAAAAATACCCTATACTTGTGAATCAGAAGACTTGATGTTGTAATATTGGGCAATACACCCCAAACTGAAATACAAATTCAATATACCCTATAAAAATCCTACCAGGAATTTTTACAGAAATTTACAAACTGAACATAAAATTCATATGGATATCTGTGTGAACTAGAATGGCCAAAAAATATTTAAGAAAGAATAAACTATAGGGCTAGCATGAAGACATATAGGTCAATGGGCACAATTAAGAACTCAAAAATAAACTTTATACCATGGTCAATTGGTTTTCAATAAGGGTTCCCAGACAGTTCATTGAAGAAAGTCTGTTTAACAAATGGTGATAACTGAATGTCCACAAGCAAAACAATAATTTTGGACCTTCAACCTCACACTAACACATGCATATGTATGTATATACATATATATAAATATTTATATAAATATATGTATATATACATGAATTCAGATGTACTAAAGACCTAATAGTAATGGTGAAAAATAATAAAACTCTTAGAGTAAAACGTGGGAGTGCAGCTTCACACCTTCATGACCATGGATTTGGCAATGGATTCTACACTTGATCTTAGCCAAAAGGCCAAGAAGCAATGGGCAATGGATTCTAAGCTATGACGTTAACATAACAAAACAAAAATTAGATAAATTGAAATTCGCCAAAATTAAAAACCTCTCTACTTCAAAGGATATTATCAAGAAGGTAAAAAGACAACTCATAGGCTGGTGCTGTGGCATAGTATGCTAAGCCCTGGCCTGTGGTGCTGGCATCTCATATTTGGGTGCCAGTTCGTGTCCCTGCTGCTCCTCTTCCAATCCAACTCTCTGGTATGGCCTGGGAGAGCAGTAGAAGATGGCCCTAGTGCTTGGGCCCCTGCACCCACATGGGAGATGTGGAGGAAGCTCCTGGGTCCTGGCTTCAGATCAGCCCAGCTCTAGTCATTGGGGCCATTTGGGGAGTAAACCAGAGGATGGAAGATTTCTTTCTCTGTCTTTTCCTCTCTGTCTGTAACTCCACCTCTCAAATAAATAAAATCTTTAGCAAAAAAAAAAAAAGACAACTCACCAAATGGGGGAAATATTTGCAAATCATACACGCATTAGGGGACTTGTATTCAGTACAAGTAATTCTTATAACTCTATAATAAAAAGACACATAGCCCAATTAAAAAGTGGGCAAAAAAAAAAAAGCTGAAGAGACATTCTTCCAAAGAAGATATACATATGTATGTGGTCTCAAGTCTTCTTACAACAAACTTAAAAATATTACTTAAGAGGCAGGCATTAGTTTTAGCAGTTAAGATGCTTCCTTGGGATGCCTACATCTCCTATCTGAATACAGCAATTCAAGTCCTGGATCTGCGCTTGATCCCAGCTTCCTGCTAGTGTGTACCCTGGGAGCACACTATTAGGTGCCTGCCATCCACATGGGAGAGCCAGATGGAATTCTTGACTGCTCGCTTTGGCTGGAACAAAATTCCTGGTATTGTGGCTCAGAAAGTTACTCCACTGCCAGCAATGCTGGTATCCATATCAGACTGCCAATTCAAGGCCCGGCTGCTCCACTTCCAATCCACCACCCTGCTAATGAGCCTGGGAAGCAGCAGATGTGGGCCCCTGCCACTCACGTGGAGGATCAGGATGGAGTGCCTAGCTCCCGGCTTCTGCCTGGTCTAACCCTAGCTGTTAGAGTCATTTGGGAAAAAATGAATCAGCAAATTAAAGATCTCTCTCTCACACTCTTGCATGTGCGCTCTCTCTCCCTGATGCTCTGCCTTCCAAACAAATAAATAATCTTTAAAAATAAATTTACAGAGCATGTTATATCTCTTAAAAATAGATAGTAAACCTATGAGAATGCTTAACACTGTTAGTTGTTAGCAGAATGCAAATCAATACCATGAGATACTATTTCTCACCTAATAGAATGACTACCATCAAAAAGATGGATAATAACATCTGTTGGTAGAAATTTGAAGAAACTGGAGCTCTTGTGTATTTCTGGTGGGAATGTAAACTAGTGCAGCTGCTTTGGAAAACAGTTTTGTAATTACTCAAAAGATTACATGTTGTTACCATGTCATCAATTCTACTCCTTGATGTACACCAGAGAGAAATAAAAATAAAAATACACAAAAAAAACTTGTTCCTGAATTCTCATAACAGCATTATTCACAACAGACAAAAAAGTTAAAACAATTCAAATGTTCATCAGCTGATGAATAGATAACCAAAATGTAGTACACCTATGCAATGGAATATTATTCAACAACGAAAAGGAAAGGTGTGGGGAGCAACTCAGGACTAGACTAAGTTACTGGAATTAAGACTTATTCTATGCATCTGCTTTCCCACAATATGGCACTGAGAAGGGAAACAGCTTCTACACAGCTGCCTCCAGTTCAACCAATAAACTGTAGGACCTGCTCCTGATTGGAGGAGAGCAGCGTACTCGGCGTGTGGGTAGCAGAGTTGGGATTGGTGGAAGAGGACTATAAAGGAGGAGAGAGACAACATGCACCAGGAACACCTGAGGAACATCTCAGCAGCCCCGGAGAGAGCCAGCTGGCGGTGTGCCGCTCCCCCGCGGAAGTGGGGAAAGTGGCAGGGGGAACCGCCCTTCCACGGAGGTGGAAGGGTCGGTAGCCAACCCGGGGAAGAACCAGCAGCAAACCCGGGAAGGGCCGAGCAGACAAAAGAACAGTGCAGGGTCCTGTGTCGTTCCTCCACGAAGACGGGGAGCGACATAATGGTGCCGTGACTCGGATATGAAGCCTAGGCAGGGTTTAGTGTCGTTCCTCCATGAAGAGGGGGAGCGACAGAAAGGGGTCTTCAAAAAGTTCATGGACATGCAAAAAAAAGCAAATATTTCAAAATGTTTTGTAACACAATAAATTTATCTTTTAATCCTATTTTTAAAGATTTACTTGTTTATTTAAGAGGCAGAGTCATAGACAGAGAGAGGGTGAGACAGAAAGAGGGAGGGCTTCTATCTGCTGGTTCATTCCCCAGATGGCTACAACAGCTGGAGCTGGGCCAATCCAAAGCCACAAGCCAGGAGCTTCCTCTGGGTCTCCCAAGTGGGTGCAGGGATCCAAGCATTTCAGCCATCTTTCCCTGCTTTCCCAGGCCACCAGCTGAGAGCTGGATCCAAAGAGGAGCAGCCGGGACCCGAACCAGTGTCCATATGGGATGCTGGCACTGCAGGGAAGGCTCAACCTGCTACGCCACAGCACCAGCCCCTTAATCCTATTTTTTACAAACATTTTGCAGTACCATCATACTTGCTACAATATGGATGAATCTCAAAAAATTACACTTAGTAAAAAAAGCATGAGAGTAAAGACTGCATATTTTATCACCTCATGCATGTGAAATATCTAGAAATAGAACATTTATGGAGGCAGAAAGCAAAGCAGTGGCTGTCTGGGTTAAATGATGATTGACTGCAAACGGGCAAGAAGGAACCCCCTAGAGTGATGGAAATGTTCTAAAACCTCTTTACGGCAATGGTTGCACAAGTCACTAAATATACTAAAAATCATCCAGTGTTACACTCACAATGCATTACTTTTATGGGATATACGTAAACAGACCTTCAGTAAAGCTGTTTTAAAATAGTAGGCAGTTCTCTAGGTTTAAATTACATTCAATTGTTTTAAAATATATTATTTAAAATTATTACTGTTTTTCTGTCATTTCCTAAACACTTTTTCTGGGACAGGTGCTGGATTTGACACATTTGCTGTTAGTGTGTTATTTATACTCAACCCTTTAAAGCAGGTGTAATTGCATCCATTTTTCAGAGGAAGTTAGCAAGATGCACATGCGCCGTAAGTAACTTGACCAGAATCAGGAAGTTCAGAAAGGGACAGAGCTGGAATTCAAACCCAGGTCTTCCTGACTTCGAAGCACAGGCTGAGCCCCTAAGTCACACTGCTGGCTGCTGAGGAGGGAAAGGAGTTTCAGAGCATCTTTTCTTAGCCAAAGAAAGAAGAGTGGTTGCCCAGGCAACCAAACTCTCAATGTCAAAACATATCGCGTGCTGTCTGCAAGTCAAGTCCTAGAGTATTCCTAGGCTTTGTGCCTAGGAATAAAATGGAGGCTGAACAAGTGACTTAAGGATTCCAATGGCCCAAGGTCATCCAGCCTCTCTAATCAGGACTTCCGGTTCATTCAGCTGATCACAGAGCAGATAAAATAGAGGTCTCCACTTAGAGAAAAGACAGACCTCCCAAGAAAGTCATTTCGATGCAAAAGTATAGAGCCCCATGCCCAGATAGCCTGGTCCAACAGGCCCTGGGCGGAACCTCAGAAGATGCATTTTTTAACAAACCAAGGAAAATTGTTAAAAATCCCAGACTTCAAAGATAAATGGACCTGGGTCTGAAGACTGCCTTTAGGCATTAAGCAGGTGTGATATCTTGCCACATCAGCACTTCTTTTTACTTAGGTAAAAAGTTGTTCATAATAACCATCTCTTGAAATTGCTACGGATTTTTTAATTACTAGATGCTCCAAGAAAGCATTCAATAAGCAGCCGCTTTTATTCACGTGTGTGTGTGCGTGTGTGTGTGTGTGCGTGTGTGTGGTTCCTGTAGAGGCTGGCAGGGCTGTTTCACCAGGAGATCAGATCTGGTGCCTTTTCTCACTATCAGGTCAGCAGCCAACAAGCTGCTAAGTTGCACGAAACCAGCCCAACAGGGAAAGCAAAATAGCCCAGGCCCTCAGGCACTGCTGATTTACATCCTTTGTAAGAAATTTTAATATTTGGAGCTGAAAATTATTCACTCACAAATTTATTCTATCTTTGGCCTTCAAAAATGATACTAAAAAAAATAGGTGAGAGAAACCACGAGGCAAAGGTGCCCCCTACTGGCAGCTAGAGGCCCTGCAAAAGGCTCTTATGAGCTGCAGCAGCCTGAATCAGCCTTTAAAGTACTCAACCCATTGCCTTCTCGTGTGCAAACCGCCATGGTCAAGGAAACGATCAATGATACAGACCCTGGCTTCTCAGCAAAGCTTCCCATCAAGCATTGTTTGTGAAAATGAGTGAGGTATTAGAAAGACTTGGTGTTCAACTGTGAGCAATGGGTCGAATAAAATTTAGTACCGCGTTACAATGGTCCTTCAAGCAGCTATTAAAAGCTACATTTTTACGGCCGGCGCCGCGGCTCACTAGGCTAATCCTCCGCCTAGCAGCGCCGGCACACCAGGTTCTAGTCCCGGTTGGGGCGCCGGATTCTGTCCCGGTTGCCCCTCTTCCAGGCCAGCTCTCAGCTGTGGCCAGGGAGTGCAGTGGAGGATGGCCCAAGTGCTTGGGCCCTGCACCCCATGGGAGACCAGGAAAAGCACCTGGCTCCTGGCTCCTGCCATCGGATCAGCGTGGTGCGCCGGCCGCAGAGGCCATTGGAGGGTGAACCAACGAAAAAGGAAGACCTTTCTCTCTCTCTCTCACTGTCCACTCTGCCTGTCAAAAAAAATTTTAAAAAAAAATAGAAAAAAGAAGCTACATTTTTAGCTTTTTTCCAAAGAAATATTCATATTATAATAAGTACAAAAAGCTGGCTATAAAAACAAAACCTGGGGCTGGCG